GAGGGATAGCAGGACGGGGGGCAGGGGCTGTGAGGGGTGCTGGAGCCCAGGGTGGAGGGGTGGCAGGACGGCGGGGGCCCTAGACCCATGTGGGGGGGGAGGGCTGAGTGTGGGTTGCCCCGTCTCTGACCCACCCGCCCACCTCCCCAGTGCTGAACGGCTGCTCCCAGGAGGAAATCTCCCTGTGGGATGTCCGCATCCTGCCCAACTTCAACGCCAGCTACCTGCCCATGCTGCCCGACGGCTCCGTGCTGCTGGTCGACGACGTCTGGTGAGCTGTGGGGGGAAGGGTCCGGGGTAGGGGGCTCGGTGTGTGTGGGTGCCGTGGGAAGGTGCAGGGGGGTCTCTGTGGGGCAGGCTGTGGGGCTGACACTCCCTCTCCCTCCCCCCCCAGCCATCACTCGGGCGAGGTGCCTGTCGGCGCCTTCTGCCGCATGGCCGGCGCCGGCTCCGGCTGCCCCTGCGCCCTGAGCGCCCTAGAGGAGCAGAACTTCCTCTTCCAGCTGCAGGCGCCCGAGCGGCCCCAGGAGGACACCAAGGAGGTGGGTGCAGGGGGCAGGGGGTGGGGACAGGGCTGTGAGGGGGTAGGGCCATGAGGCAGGGGGAGGAGTTAGGGCCATGAGGGGGTGGGGCCACAGGGCAGAAGGAGGGGAAAGGGCAATGGGGGCGGGTCCAGCAGGTGGAGGGGATAGGACTGGGGGTAGGGCCATGGGGCTGTCACTCACTCCCCCCCCCTGCTCCCCCAGGGTCTGGAGGTCCCCCTGGTGGCTGTGGTTCAGTGGTCGACACCCAAACTCCCCTTCACCAGCAGCATCTACACCCACTACAGGTGAGAGACACCCCCCCCCCCCCAAACTCTAATGGCTCTGGGCTCCCCCCAGCTCCGATGCCGTCCTGGCCCTGGGCTCCCCTCCACCCTGGGCAATTACAGGCCAGTAAGCCTGACTTCAGTACCGGCAAACTGGTTGAAACTATCATAAAGAACAATATTGTCAGACACAGAGATGAACATAATTTGTTGGGGAAGAGTCAACATGGTTTTAGTAAAGGGAAATCATGCCTCACCAATCTACTAGAATTCTTTGAGGGGGTCAACAAGCATGTGGACAAGGGGGATCCAGTGGATATAGTGCACTTAGATATTCAGAAAGCGTTTGACAAGGTCCATCACCAAAGGTTCTTAAGCAAAGTCAGCTGTCATGGGATAAAAGGTGCTCTCATGGATTGGTAACTGGTTAAAAGATAGGAAACAAAGCATAGGAATAAATGGTCAGTTTTGAGAATGGAGAGAGGTAAATCGTGGTGTTCCCCAGGGGTCTGTTCTGGGCCCAGTCCTATTCCAAATATTCATAAACGATCTGGAAAAAGGGGTAAACAGTGAGGTGGCAAAATTTGCAGATGATACAAAACTACTCAAGATAGTTAAGTCCCAGGCAGAAGAGCTACAAAAGGCTCTCTCAAAACTGGGTGACTGGGCAACAAAATGGCAGTTGAAATTCAATGTTGATAAATGCAAAGCAATGCACGTTGGAAAACATAATCCCAACTATACATATAAAATGATGGGGTCTAAATTAGCTGTTGTCACTCAAGAAAGATCTTGGAGTCATTGTGGAGAGTTCTCTGAAAACATCCACTCAATGTGCAGCGTCAGTCAAAAAAGCGAACAGGATGTTGGGAATCATTAAGAAAGGGATAGATAATAAGACAGAAAATATCATGTTGCCTCTCTATAAATCCATGGTACCCCCACATCTTGAATACTGTGTGCAGATGTGGTCGCCCCATTGGAAAAAAGATGTATTAGAATTGGAAAAGGTTCAGAAAAGGGCAACAAAAATGATGAGGGGTCTGGAACGACTGCCGTATGAGGAGAGATTACTCAGACTGGAACTTTTCAGCTTGGAAAAGAGATGACTAAGGGGGGATATGAGAGAGGTCTATAAAATCATGACTGGTGTGGAGAAAGTAGATAAGGAAGTGTTGTTTACTCCTTCTCATAATACAAGAACTAGGGGTCACCAAATGAAATTAATAGGCAGCAGGTTTAAAACAAATAAAAGGAAGTATTTCTTCACACAGTGCACAGTCAGTCTGTGGAACTCCTCGCCAGAGGATGTTGTGAAGGCCAAGACTATAACGGTTCAAAGAAGAACTAAAGAAGTTCATGGAGGATAGGTCCATCAATGGCTATTAGCAGGATGGGCAGGAATGGTGTCCCTGGCCTCTGTTTGCCAGAAGCTGGGAATGGGCGACAGGGGATGGGTCACTTGATGATTCCCTGTTCTGTTCATTCCCTGTGGGGCACCAGGCACTGGCCACCGTTGGCAGACAGCATACTGGGCTAGATGGACCCTTGGTCTGACCCAGTCTGGACATTCTTATGTTCTGTTCCCGCAGCTCTGACGCCCCCCACAAGCTCAGACCCCCCTGCCTCCAGCTCAGGGGCTCCAAGGGAGCAGTCCCCCACCCCCATGGCCCCTCCTGGCTGCCCAGGTTAGCTGTGCGGGGGGATCCTGGTGCCCATGGCAGGGCGGGGCGGTCCCAGTGCCCGTGGGGGGGGCGGTCCCGGTGCCCGTGCTGACCCTCGCTGCCCCCGCAGGCTGCCCAGCATCCGGCTGGACCGGCCGCGGTTCGTGATGACGGCTGCCTGCGAGTCGCCCGTATCCCTGCGCCGACGCTTCACCGTCACCTACACCCTGCTCAACAACCTGCAGGACTTCTTGGCCGTGCGGCTGGTCTGGACCCCGGAGAGCGCCACGGCGGGTGGGCGGGGCTGCAGGGGCCTGGTGGTGTGGTGTGGGCGAGACCACAGCTGGTGGGCATGGGGGGCGGCGGGATGGAGCTGTGG